GACCCTGTGTGTGCAGGGGGGTTGGACTCGATGACCTCTGAGGTCCCTTCCAACCTTGGGCATTCTATGATTCTATGATTCTATGATTCAGTGCACAAGCCTCAGGTTTCACGTCCACATGAGCTTGCTTACAAAACTCCTACAGCCTCCTTCTGCCTAAGGCTTTCTTGGACTGGACTGACACATGTAAGAGCTTCAATGCTGAGGAGTACCAGGGAAGCATCTTCTACCTACTGCACATGCAGCTCATTATGGTGCCCTATCTAGGCCCGGCTTTTCCCAGTGGGAAGCCACTGCTGGGAGCCACTGGTTTCCAGCACCTAGCGAGCCCAGCGAGCTGCCCCGTGCCCGCCTGCACACCAGCCAGCACTGCAGCCCCAACTGCTCCGGGAACCGAGCCCTGGAACCTGCCCTTTGAAGTTCTCAGCTCAAAGAAGAAAATCTCCTTTAAAAGAAAAAGCAGAAAAGGAGCAGAAACCTTGCACTGTGATTCGGCACAAGTTACACCTTTTCTGTGTCTTTCGTGAGGATGAAAAGGACAGTGCCCAGTTGGGGAGGCCCAAGCTGCAGAAGGAGGGTGGAAGGCAGTGGTGCAGCCTGGTACGGCTGCTTCTGCCATGGAGCACCACGTGTATCTCCTGGCTCACATGTGGGCAGTTTCTGGTTTATGTTTTTAGCCACATAGCGATGGGTCCTCCCCACACCAGGTAGCCGTGTGCTGTGCTTAGGAAGCAGCTTTGTGCCACGACTTCTCCTGGCAGAGCTTGCCATGGTTAGGACTGAAGATGACAAGAGGCTCCCAAATGCCCAGGTTTGTGCTGTAGATAAGGAGCCTGTTGCTCCAAGTGTCTCCATCATTCACCGTGTGTTGGTTATGTGCTACAAGCGGTGCCAGTGTCAGCCCAATGCGTAGGGCCTGGACAGCCCTGAGAGTCGGGACAACCACCCTTGGAGAACAGCAAGGTGACAATGGCATTGCCCAGCTGAAGACCTGGGCGACATGGGCACGGGCCATGGTGCGGAGCTCCCTTAGTGCAGAGCCTGGAGGGGGGACACAGCAAGCAGGGTGGAGGCAGGGGCTGGGAGGACCTTCAGAGAGTGCCCAGCCCCTGCTTGGCCTGCAGACCCCTGCCCATGGGGTGGGCAGCACAGCAGTGGACGAGCAGCCTCCCCCTCTACTCAGAAAAGCTGCTGTCCCCAACCTGCTGCCCCTCTTGCTCGCTGTGCATGGCGAGAGCTCCTCCATCACCCAGAGCCTCCTGCCRAGTGTGCCCGTTTCCCAATCTCTTCCAGATGACCTTCTTCTTCTCKGACAAGGTGGTGCTGCTCTTTGACTTCTGGAGCGTCCACAGCCCTGCAGGTAGGGGTGTTCCCACGCGCCGGGGTCGAAGGGCTGTTCTGGGCCACCACGGCAAAGGGCACCCAGCGACGTGTCCCCTCACCTGCCCGAGGGCCTGGCAGGCGCTCAGCGGTGCATCGGGATGGCACCGAGCATCGCCCTGTGCCCCGTTCAAGGTGGAATCACCTGCAGTGAGCTGGTGGCACACACAATGCATGCCATCCTCCTGCTCATGGAAACACGGAACGTCAGCTGAGGCCAAACTCTGCTCCTGGGACAAAATAATGATGGTGATTAGCATATCCACTCCAGGACCCAGATTAAGCTTTGAAACCAAGTCTCCCATTTGCTCATGGCATAAGAAGGTCTCAGCTTCTCATTTCCTTTTCTCTCTATTTTAACTCGGCATCTTAGGAACGGAGAAGATGGTGGCTCAGATTTAGCAGAATGCCCTGGTTCCCAGTGCTACAAATTTGCTGCCCACTGCTCCAGCCCAAGCCCCGATCCYAAGAGCATTCCAGGTGCCACCATTCCCTGCATCCTGCCCAAGGACTTGCACAAGTCTGCCAGACCACAGACCCCCAGGGCCCTTTTCCCTGCTGCATTTTGAAGGACCAGGCTGCCAGCACCAGCTCACCCTACTGCATGCCCTCAAGCTCCCCTTGCTGCCTCTGGCTGGCAGGCAAGGGCAGCCCAAGGGGATTTTCTCTTGCAGGGATGGTGCTCTCGGTGTTGGTCATCCTGCTGCTCTCCATGCTCTACGAAACGGTGAAGATCGGCAAGGCCAAGGTGCTGCGCCGGGCGGTGCTGGCCATCCCGCGCAGCCTCAGCCACRACGTCTTGCTGGAGCAGGATGGGGATGGCAGTGTGGGGCATCACGATGCCGCGCAGGGCAGGTACCGCCTGCCCCTGAGCTGCCTTTCACCCTGCCAGAGTTCTTGTGAGCAGGGAACAAGGGCTGTGTAGGGAAAGGAGCCACCGCGCTGAGCGGGAGACGGGCTGTACAGCCCAATCAGCCAAGAAACCCTGCGGACGGGCCCCTGTGCTGTGATATCCATGGGAGGGCAGCATCCTCTTGTCCTGGAGGAGGCTCCCATCTCCTCAGGCTCCCCGAGAGTGTTTCTGCTGCGGTAAATGCTTATGGGCCCCCAAGAGCCACCATAGGTGCAGTGGGGAGGACGGGCGCATCAATGAAGTCTTCATGGAATGAGACTGGCTCCCACACATCTTGCTCAGGAGAATCCCGTCCAGCACAAGCTGCTTGAGTCAGGACCCGGCTTTTCATTTATATTTAATCCCAGACRCTGCCTGAGGCTCCTCTTTGTGCCAGCTCATTAATAACGGGCTGCTCATTAATTCAGCCCTTAGAAATGAGTTTATATTTGCACTGCCATTTGCAAACAGCCTCAGTTTGGCTCCCGATCTCTGCCAACCTCCCGGGCAATTGGTGCCCCATTCCCCCGGCTTGCTAACAGGGCTTTGCTTTCTCCCCAAGCAGGTGGTTCCTGTTCCACGTCAGCCAGACCCTGCTCCACGTGGTGCAGGTGGTGGTGGGTTACATGGTGATGCTGGCCGTCATGTCCTACAATGCCTGGATCTTCCTCGGCGTGGTTGTGGGCTCCGCGCTTGGTTATTTCGTGGTGTTCCCGCTGCTCAACGTGGGCTAGACGGGCCAGGGGCCATCCCCATGGCCCCGCAGGGGCCACAGCCCTTGTGCTGGCTGCGTGGCTGGAAATGCTGAAGCACATGGTCAAGGCCTCCACCGCGACACGTGAGCTGAGGTCAAGAGGAAACGTGCCGCCCAGTCTTCTGCTTTTCTTGCATAGCTGCTGTCACTTCTGCTGGCTCTGTCCTTGCCCTTTGCCGTGCGGGCAGCAGCCCCGGGACCTCCTGCAGTCCCTTGCTGCTGGCAGGATTGAGGTGGGGATGGAGACTGGGTGAAAAAGCCCCCGCCAAGCTGCCCACCGCTGGGCTGCTGCATGGCTCCGCTGCTTCCCCACCTGCCATGCTGTCCTTGGCCGTGTGGCCATCCCCGTGTTGGGGATCTGCAGCTGTGGGACAGAGGGAGCAGGTTGAGCAGGCACCGAGTCTGGCTGGGAGAGCTGGGCATCACCCTGCCCGCCCTCTCCTGAGGGGTTATGTTGTGGCCAGCTCTTGCATGCTCAATTCATCCTTATGCTCAGGGAATAAAAAGCTTTGGGGAGAGGTAAGAGTGGGGTAGCAGCTTCCGCATCCCCCGTGCACCCACCCCCTTCACACTGTGCCTTTTGGGGTCCTGGGGAACAAGCCGTGCCCAGATGTTCCCAGCACTGCGGGCAGAGCCCAGCCCAGCTCTGCCCCTCGTTTTTAGCACTTCAGGGATGGGGTCAGTGCAGCTGGGAAGGAGCTGCCATGGCTGGCGCGTGTGGCCCCAGCGACGCGATGCCAACGCAGCAGGCTGCTGCTCGGCACCTCTCGCTTCCTTCTAGAGATGCTCAGTTTAGTGAAAGCAGCTCAGCACTTCRGCTCCCGTTTTGTGTTTGTGCTGCATGAGTGTCGCCTCACCAGGGATGCTGCAGGGATGCAGGACACGATGGCACCAGGTCCTGCCAGGGCCGGGGTCCTCCACTGCATTAACTAATGCAGGGTACAGTGGATGCCCCCTCCCTGGCAGGTCCCACCGCTGCGGTGGTGCCTTGCACACGGGGATGCACAGTCTCAGCCCCTGTGCTCCCTGCAGGTTTCTCAGCCCCATTTGCCCTAGGATGGGGTCTCATTGAGCCCTAGTGTTTAGAAGCTGCCCCCGATACCATCYCCAACGTGGCACCTGCCTCACAGCCCTGCACTTTGGGTGAGCCATCCAGGAACAACCACAGTCTCCTCTGACTTTAAATAAAGCTTTTTTTTTTCTTTTTATTAATTATTATAAGCATATTTTTAAACATTTGTATAATATCCTTAATAAAATATCTTGGAAGAGACAGAGATTTTTCCTTTTTTTCAAAGTTCCCAAAGCAAGGCACTTTGGGGGGCTTCCCCAGGTGGTTTSGTCTGGGTGTCCCCCGTTCAGAGACAGAAACAACGGCCCTTAAAATACACACAGAAGCCAAGGGCACCGCATTGGGGCCACGCCGGGCTCCCTGTGCCCCATATTATGCACACATTTGTGGTCCCCGGCGCCCACTCGCAGGTCYTGCAACTGCCCCCACGAGCTCTGAGCAGACGTGTTTGGAGCCCGTGTCCTGATATGAGCATATTAGGATGCGGAGGCCTGAAGAGAGGTCAGAGAATGAAGAGGTCTCCTTCCGTGTCTCGCGAGTCTTGCCCTGGGCAGCGGCGCCAGGACGAGCTGCTGCAGGAGCAGACAGGCTCCTTGCCGTGTCCCACCTGCAGCAGACTGCCCCGTGGCCTTTCCAGGAGCAAATCCCTTCTGTAGGGGGGAGTGTTTCACCTGCGTCAAGTGCCCAAGGGCARATGCAGCCAAGGGACTCGGTGAGTACTGAGGGGTTCCTATAAAAACTATGGCCTGGCTCTGTTGAGCTCCCCTAGACCCTCTGGGCACCAGAACTGGCTGCCCCATAAGTGCTTCCCCCAAACCATCCGCTGACAACCACGTCCATGCCCAAACACCTCTGCAGATGCCAAAACCTGCAAGACACGGACAGAGGGCCCAGGAGAAGCTCGTCTTGGCAAGCAGCGGGTTGGCTCTGCAGGGCTGAGCGGTGATGCCGACCGGGGCAAGGGGCTCACGGCAGCCGAGGAATGTGCAGAGACCCAACCAGGGCAGCCCGGGCGAGCCTAGAGAAGAGGCCCTAGTGACACCTGCTCCCAGGAGAAGGCTTTGGCTCTGCATGGCAGYGGGTGCTGGAACACCTGGGAACAAGCTGGGGCAGCAGCCCCGCTCCCGGCAATGGGCAGGSGGCTTTTCTGTCCACCGGCTGCTGCGCGGGGCTGGCCACCTYCCACGATACCCACCAAGTGCCATGTAAAGCTGGAGGGTGCTGCTGCTCCACCAACAGACGCGTTGCTGCCCTGGTCCACACTTCCACCAGCCTCCTGGTCCCCTCTGTGCTCCCACCAGACCGTCCATCTCTCCAGATCACTCCTTGCAAAGCCTCTCGCTACCCCGCCAGCATCTGCAGCCCCCTTCGCCTGCCTTGTCATCGACCTCCTGCAGCCCCTTCTCCACCCGCGCTCTCATCAGGAGCAGGAAGGTGGCCACCAAATGTCCTCCTTTGGGCGCGGTGCCTCAGTGCTCCCCGGCCAGCTGGATCTAGGAGCATCCCCAGCAGGCTGCGGTGCAGGGAGGCTCCCAGGAAAAAACTCATGGATTTGGCAGGGGAAGAGGCTCCTGCCTGCCCTGGGGTGAGGAACAGGTCTAGATGGGCCAGGGCAAACTGCGCAGGCGGCCAAGGTGAGACCCTGGGCAGCCCCTTGCGAAGCCAGCCCGGCCCCCAGCTCCCGTCCTGCGCCCCACATGAGTCTTCTTCTCCCTCCTGGCWCTGGGGCCCAGCCAAGGGACGCAGATGAAGCATCTCTGCAGTAGGAAAGAAGGAAATAACACAGAAGAAGGATAGAGCAGAGAGCAGAGGGTGCCCTATACTGAGCTGGGGGGCCTCCGGGGATGACTCTCCAACCTAACCCAGYGAGACCACTTGGTCCTGGCCAGCCCTATGCAGCAGCGGAGACTCCCTCCTCAGTCAGCCAGGGCTGTCCTGGTGTTCCTCATCCCTCCCTCTCCCCAACACTGCAGCAGGTCCCAGCGCTGCAGCTGGAGCAGCCTACAAGCATCCCCCCTACTYGTCCCCAAGCCCCCCACGTCACCGAGGCCAGTCCGCTCGTGTGCCCCGGCCGTGCGCGTGCCGGGAGGGCGGCGGGGCTAGAACCCAGTCTGTGCGGGCTCCGCGCGCCCCGGCAGCTCCGCGCCGCCCGCCGCGGACTCCTCCTCCCCCGTCTCCTGGTCGCTGGGTTTGGGGCTCTCCGCGCTGATCTGCTGCTCTGCCGCCAGGGACCGGGGCTCGGCRAGGGTCCCCGTGCTGGCCGGGCCCTGGGGGACGGTGTCGCACGGGGCAGAGCCTACTGCACAAGCGGCTTCTTGCAGCCCTCCCTCGGTGGCACCGTCCTCCTGGGTGGTGACGGTACCGTTCGTTAGCTGCTCCTCTGCCGCCGCCCCGGCAGGGCCCACGGCTTCCTCGAGAACCTCCTTCCGCAGCATTTCCCGGATCTCCTGCACGCTCCCAGGCGATCCTGAGGCTGCCGGAGGCTCCGGATCCTGCGGCTCGCGTTCCTCGTGCTGCGTCAGCGCCTCRCTGCCTGCTTCGTAAGGCAGGGCTCCCTCGTCGTCCTGGATGACCGACACCACCTGCTTGGCCCGGCGGCGCTTGTCGGAGGTGGGCTCGGCGTCGGGCTGCCCGCCGTACTCCTCTCCCCAGTCGATGGGGACACCCTCGCCGAGCAGGTGCAGGTTGGGATCGCTGTTGTGCATCACCATGCTGTCGCGGTACAGGTTGTGCTTCCTCTGCACGGCCGCCTCCTTCACAGCTGCAACGGCACGTAGAGACGAGTCAGCCTTGAGGGCCCTTGTGGCCCTCCAGAAGCTCCGGGTGCTGCTAAACCCAGAGCCACCTGCGCTCCAACACATCCGGCAGCTTCTCCAGCACCTGGCAAGGGTGCAGGACTGCCCACCAGTGCGGAGCCACAGCACCTCACCTTGCATGATGTCTTTCATGACCGACTGCAGCACGACCTCCTCGTAAGTGTTCTCCACGAGGATGAAGCTGGCGAAGTCCTCGAAGATTAGCTCTTGGAACTTGGTTAACTCCTGCCGTAAGGGAGAGAYGGATCAGACTGTTCCTGCAGGCCAGAGCCAGGGACAGCCACCTCGGAGCCTGCCCACCGTGCTGGCCCTAGCCCACCAGGCTTGGGGAATGCCACCCTCCCGACGGGCATGGCCATGGCCTTGCATCTATCCCAGGGAACAACGGGCAGCAAATCTGGGTTATCTGGTTACAAGGCTAGGGTCCTCTGAAATGCATCATCAAGCATTCCTATTACTGGATTATATACAGCCTGTCATGGAAAACCAAGGATACCTTCCCACCTCCGAACAACTCAAGCCCAGGGAGACGAGGGAGAAGGAAGAGACCAGGTCCTCCTTGGAGACAGAGGGATGCCCAGCCCCTCCACAGTGGGATTCTCTTCAGCTCTTACCCCCTTGCAGGTGGGTGCCAGCTTTTTCAGCAGGAAGGGGATGGTGATCTGCAGCAGGGCTTCCCTGAAGAACTTCTTCCGCACAGTGCTGCTGTCGTAGTCGTATTTCTGCAGGGCGAGCAAGAGGGCAGGGTCAGGCTGACACCACAGGGAACAGTGCGTGGGTTCCTCGACCTCTCTCCCTGACACTCCTTTACTGTCTAGCTCTCAGGGACATCTGAGATGGGCAGCAACTGGCTCCTCCATCTCTCCTCTGCAGAAGCCTTTGGGCCAGTGTGAAACTGGAGCAGCTTTTATGTTGACATATGCCTGTAGTCAGAGGGGATCGAAGGCACTTCCTTCTCGAGGCTTTCTTGCACATCTGACCCAAACCTCAGCAGAACACGTAACAGTGTCAATATTTCTGTTATCTCAAAAAATGCATTATTGTCAAAAATGGGACTCCTGACCTCTTTCCCAGGCTCCCAGCCCTCTCATGAAGGCCACCTCTTGAGAAGGCACCAATGCTCTATAGAGACAACCCATGTCACACCACCCTCCTGTTTTTCTACCCCTCTCACCTTGAGCACTCGCTCGAGGATGCGCTGGATTGACTTGCACAAGTCATCTTTGCCCTGAAGCTTTCCCAGCTCCTGGTGGAGGAGGGTCTCGAATGTGTGCACGGCATCGTCCATTTGCTATCACAAGAGACAAATCATGAGCATGAGGAGGGACCCCAAGGGTGGCCAAACATGGGAAGACGACCACAGCTGTTCCCAGCCTACCTGTCTCATGAGAATCTGTGCCCTCTGCTTGAAGACAGATGTGCTGGAGACATCAAATCGTTGCTGAAGACCCTCTAGTTTCAGCTGGTCCATCTTCTCATAGCATGACTGCATCTTGACAGGGTGGAAGGCCAATTGCGAAAGCTTCTCCATGTACTGTGGACAGAGGCACAGCTCGGTAAGCAGGACAGCCTCTTTGCATGCATCTCCCACACCAGCCATGGCAGCCTGGGCTGCCGTGGTCAAGCCCTTGTCTCCAGCAAGCTGGGGACCTGAACCTATTTGCTGTCAGTACAGACAGTGCAGTGATCCTGGGCTCCTCCATCAAAGCTGTTGGTGGACATGGGTGGCACGAGGTGGTCCTCTAAGACCAACAATAAAGCAGGAGGAAGACGTATCAGGGGAGGTGTGGGCTTCATCCCCATGGGCAACAGTGTTTTCCCTGTCTTGGGTCCCCCAACCCATTCCACAGTACAGTCCTCAATGGGCAGCAGGATTGCTCTTCCACTCCTGAGCCCTGTCCTGCCAGCCAGAAAGAAACCTCCCCAGCCTCACCTCTACCAGCTTCTCCAGGCCGCCTTCGTTGAGGATGTTCATGTTCATGTCTGTGACCTCCTTGAAGAACACCTCCCGCACCTCGGCAAAGCCCTGGCTTGTGGGGGTCATCAGAGCCTCCAGGATGGAGGAGATGTAGGGCTGGACGTGGTTACGGACACAGATCTCCGCTTTGGGGAGCACGAATGCTAAGGAGAAAACAGGGGTAAGAATGGCAAGTTTCTTCCTCTGCCATGTCAGCTCGGAGCCCACCGACAATCCAGGCCCTAACCAAGCTRGAGCACAGGATGTGTCCCCTCTCCTCAACCCTTCTAGGAGAGGGTCAATCTCAGATTTACATGGAAATTCCAGGTGTTCTTGCAGATGACTTTCCAGTCAGCTGTTCCTCCCCTCAGCTGCTCTGTTTTTGGGTCACTGCCTACCTTTTCTCTAAGCTTAGGCTCTTTCTGTGGCACAGAAATGTAAACCTCATGCATGCACCTTGGCCACTGCAGCTCCTGTGCTCTTCTGTACTGCCTGATCCACTTGCTGACCAACAGGTCAAGCTCCACCCCAGAAACAGCTCCATATTGGTAAAATAGTTTTCACATCATACTGACCACTGCTCACATATATCCAGCCCATCTGTGCAACCTGGGAGAATTTGGAGGGTCTTCTGCCTCTAGGGCTGTACCTCGGATTTTGCTTGCCAAGTGCTCCTTTGAAGTGATGATCTGGTCCATATCTGTACGGATGSTGCTCTCCATCTGGGGACGTTCCAGTTCACATTTGGTGAGAATTGCATCGTACTGGGTCTTTGTCTGGTCATAGACCATCCTGTAGACGGCGTCTGAGATCTAGGGAGATAGACACTGTCAGGCCGCTGTCTCCTGCATCTTGCTGCAGCCTGGTGACCATCACCATTAGCTTTCCTATAGGTAGTGAGATACAGTGAGGGAACRCACAGAGTCTTCACCAGGCTCCCGACCAGAGCCATGCCTGCAGCCTGGCCATAGGACGTCCAGGTCAGAGATTCCCGAACTGGGCAAGACGAAGCCCTGGGCCACTTCAAAGTGGTACCTGATCAGAACAGAGCTGGTCACTGTCACCGTGAGYAGAAAGGGCCTTGACCCTGCTCTGCCTCTGGTTGAGAAAGCTCATGGGCTATAGGGGAGAACCTGGCTCCATTAGAAAGCCGTGGACCAAATTCAACCCAGCAGAGCGTAGTAATTCAGTAATTCTGTGTGGCCTTGTCCACCCATAGCCCTGACCCCTGCCAGGGGCCTAGGGGCTGTTCTTAATGCACACAGAAGATCTGGTTCAGTGTTGAGCCCAGATAAGCTGGCCCAGAAGCCTACACAATCCCCAAGGGACGTATCCATGGGTCCAGGGGAAACCGCACATCCCGGGCCGCCGCGTCCCTGCTGCTCCAGGTTGCTGCTCTCGCAGCATCCATCTCCACATGGGCATCAGCCAAGCAAGCCTGGATACCAGCCAACATCCCTAGATAAAGCTGGTCTCTGGAGGAGCCCAGAGCCTCCTCGTGCTCRTCACCGACTGCAGCTCCTCGACGAGGGTTTGCAGCCAATGGTAGAGCTCTCGGGGCCGGCAGGAGGCAGAGCTGCTCCTCCCTCCATCCCGCAGCTCTCGGCTTTTTCAGCGCGGCTCAGGCCAGAGCCCTGAAACGGGCAGCGCGTGGGTATTTTTAGGCTGCCTCAATGGAACTCTGTTAGCAGCCGCGTGGAATTTTTCTACTGGCTCGAAGCTTTTAATATGCAATTTTGAGGAGCGCTCTGCTCTTTCGCAATGTCCCGGGGCTGGATTTAGCCTGCACTGCTCTAAAAACAGCTTGCTAAATATAGSCCGGCCGGGCGGCACTGCCGGCCCTGCCCAGGCCGTGTTTCCTAGCGCCGGTGCCGGAGCCGTGGAGGGGAGGAGGCGGCGTGGGAGGCGGCTCCACGACGGACACAACGCTCGCGGCAGAGGGGGCGACGCCGCGTCAGCGCCGGCGCGGAGCCAAGGGCACCGGCCGCGGCACCCCAGGCCCCGCCGGCCCCGCGAGCACAGCCCGGCTCCCCCGTCCATCCCGCCCGGCACCGCGTCCCCACGCAGCACGGCTCCCCCGAGCAGCCCCGGCACCTGGATCCAGGCCCTCTGCCGCTCCTGTGTCTTGCCCTTCAGCCTCGGACCAATGGTGCTCTTCAGCTCGGGGACCAGCTCCTCCATCACCAGGTTGCTCAGGATCTGCAAGGACCAAGGCAGGGACCGTCAGTGACCCAGACCTGTCCCCACCCTGCCTCCCGTTTCCAAAGGCACCTCTCATCTGGAGACGGGTCCTGACCTGGGTTTCGTTGCCACACAGCATGTCCCACGTGCCGTACTGCTCCTTCGACTGGCGGTACATGCGCACTGCGTCCGTGAAGGCAGGGGCCTCCACTTTGGAGTCCTCAGGGATCCCTGGCAGAGGGCAGGATGGCATTGGGTGAGCCAGCACGGCAAGGAGAGCATAGCATAGAGCAGAGTGGACATCTCTGAATGCCCCACGGCCCCTGCCAGAGCCACCCGTGTATCCCTGGCCCACGATCACAGAGCATTCCCCGCTTCCCTATAGGACACCCGGGGTTGTCACCGGGGCTGGGGGGCCCAGTGGCCGAGGTCCAGGCTCTGCGCAGGCAGCTGGACAGCAGAGCCCCCTTTCCCCAACCCYGGGGCCAGAAGCAGCTATGGGGGACCCCAGTTTGTGCAGAGCAGCGTCGCCCCGTCGTGGACGCGGGAAGCACCCGGGAGCGCAGGCTCAGCAGCAGCAGGGAGCCCCGGGGATGCGAGCGGACCCCGCAGAGCCCCAGTGCTGCAATGGGACGTKGGGCTCCGCAAGTGCTACTGGTGCRTGGGGACGTCGGGCTGGCACAGCGCAACGGGGCGGCTCGGAGCTGAAGCTGGAGCTGGAGCTGGAGGAAGGGAGAGTTGGAGGGAGAACTCCGGGAAGCAACACAATGCAGTTTGGGCGGAAGAAAGACGCGGTTGAAAGGAGGCAGGGATGAGTCACAGGCAGCCCCACGGAGGCGGATGGTGCTCCAGGGAAGCAGATTGTGCTCTGGGCCCTTCACTCCCACCCAGGCTGCATTGCCATGATTCACCCACACGGCTCGGTCCCCAGCGGGGTCAGGCATCCTCCTGCCTTCCCGGGAGGGTCCCATGCCCATCAGCAGGACAGARCCCAAGGGGACCCGCTGTGATACCCAGTGACCAAAGAGGGGAGGAGGAGGAGGAGGAAGAAGAGAYAAGAGTCACCCTTTCTGAACRACTTCACCACACGTCAGCTCGAGCTCAGTGACAAGGGGGTGGCAGACGGACAGGACAGCCTGGCTCAGCAAGTTCTGGTATTAAATGCCCCACGCACACCCTTCCCTGCCCACCAGCTCCATCACGGTGCTGGTGACAAGAGCCCGAGGCAGCGAAGACAGCGCAGGTGGGTCCCCAGGGATGGGAGACAGCCAGGCACCCCGCGAGCTGRAGCCGACAGCGCCTCGGGGAGATGCGGCCAGAGGCGCCTTCCCCCTTCCCCACGAAAGGCAGCAGCCCCTGGTCACTTAGCAGATCTTTTCCAGCACTCATGGATTTCTCTAAGACGATTATATTTAACTCTAAGCCTAAGCAGCTTTTCCTATGGGCCATCTTAATATATTGGGGAAAAAAAAAATAAAAGAAAGAGCAGATGAGAAAGTTGAGGTCTGATCCTCGGGATATGCTGCTCCAAGTCCATGTGCCAGCGTCACGGTGCTGTTTCGGTCACAGCGCACATGCTGGGTCCCTAAGGACGCTCCATTAGAGAAATGCATAAAAGGCAGGTGAAAATTCCCACACTCATCACAAGCACAGACAAAAAAAAAAAAAGAACATAATGTTTAATTTGGAAAAAAAAAAACAGAGGAAACAAAACAAAATCTTTCAATGGATTTGAAACGCTATCTTCAACCTTGCAAAAACAATGAGCCACATAAACTTGTGTTTTAAAAGGGAAGAAAGACCTCACAAAGAAAAACAGTCTGTAGAAGTCAAAAAAAAAAATCCACAAAAAAACCCCACCAGAGCTGATCCTTTCCTGGGAAACAGGCCATTTGTGTAACACTTTCTGTTCAAACTGAGGAGGAAGAGAGATTAAAAAAAAAAAAAAGAAAAAAAGAAGGAAGGAGCAGAGCTCTGGCTGGAGGCTGCCGGTGGCGCCCGGGAGCGCCAAGGCCAGGAGCCACGGTGAGGGGCTGCCCAGCAGTATGGCGCTCGTTGTGCCCACAGCCAGGGCAGCCAGGGAGGAAAAGAGAGGGAAAAATAAGAAATCAGTGAATTGTCTCTTTGTCAGGATGAGAAACTGATTCCTCCTTTATTTATCCTTCTTTTGTTATCAGAGTTTCCATTGTGGGGCCTGAGGGTCCGCATGCAGGGACTGCAGTGGCTGTGACCTCGCTCCCAAAAAGCAGCTCCTACCCGGCTCCTGCCCCCGGCTCACTGTGGCCTCGCTCCGGGAAGAGCGGCCGTGGCTGAGCAGGAAAATCACGTTYTTCTGGCCCGAGCAGGATGACGCAGGAGGCTGGGGCTGGTCTCCTGGGCATCCTGCTGCTGCCTGCGGTGTCGTGGGGCTCCCACAYGGCCAGCAGCTGCCCTGGGGACCCCGAAGGGCTCACAGCGACTGCAAGCAGGACGGGGTGGCTACTGAGGAGCTTTGAGGTGTTCTGAGAGGTTTACGACCAARTATTTTTGGACTCGCATGGAAAATAGTCCTTAGCTGGCACTGCACATGCGCCCCTGAGCTGTCTACAGCCAGGCCAGCAGCCGTCGGCCACAGCCCATATGTGAAGCTGGGTCCTCCTCCATCCCAAAGGCCACAAGCAAGAGAGAAACCTCCTCTTCCACCCAGGCACCATCTCGGGGTCGCCCCCCTCGTCCACCAAAGCCTCGGCCGCRTCCTCGGAGCCGCCTCACCGTTGTTGCAGTGCCGCACGCAGTCCTGGAAGACGGCCCGCCACTTGTCCTGCTCCTTGCCCGTCATCACACAGAAGTAGTAGTGCCGGGCATAGGGGTGCCAGAGGATGAGGGGGAACTGGGTGGGACACTTTAGGATGGGGGTGTTCCCAGACTTGGGGGTGGCTCCTGCAAGGGGAAAGCAGACTTTGAAGAGTGCCCATGTGAGCCCCTGCACTCTCCTGCCTACCCACTCCCTATCCTCCTGGAGCTGCTGCCTCCCTGACCTTTGGCCAATGGCCTTCACTTGGCCTTGGCATTCATTTTAGAAGGCAACCCCCTCAAGAGAAGACCCACAAGCACGTCTTGCAGATTCCTCCCCTCTTGGCCTGATGGGACTCACATCCCCTTCTTCTGGTCAGGGATCATCGTGGGAGTCTGCCCAGCAAGAAGAACAGTGCTGACAGCCCAAAACTGAACAATGGTTTCATCCTGCCCATGAACACATGGCCACCAACCACAAGGAGATGGGCTGAAAGGTCCCTGGCACGTGCTGGCCCTGGCCAAGATGCCCAAGGGCTTTCCTTGGATGCCACGTGGTCAACAGTGGAGGAGCAGGACAGCTCTGCTCCCAACCCATCTGGCATCTCTGGAGTTCATTAGAGTGTCCCGACAGCTGTGGCTGAAAGCGAAGGGCATGCAGACATCTGGAGGGTTTAGTGTTCTCATTCAAAGAAAAGCCGGAGCAGTTTTCCTGCTGAGGGCTAACAAGACTCATCCTCAAATTGCCAAGGTCAGGAGCAGGCTGGGGGCAGCAGGGGGATCTGCACCTCAGCGCTCGCAGGACAAGGGTCCTTTTGTCATGGAAACACGGCACCCAAGGGCTGCCGGAGGGGCAGGAAATGCCGCAGRGGGGATACACTGGAGAGCCTTGTCTCCTCCGCATGCATCATCCCATGGGGCAGGCAAAGAGCAAAGGGGCCTCACTCCTCCGAAAGGCAAACAGGGAGGGAAGCAGCAAAACCCATCCCGTAGCCTCCCAGCTGTGTTGGCAGCCCCACGGCTCCGCGGGGCCTCGCACAGGGCTCCTGTGCCCGACACGGCCCCGCTGGGTCCCGGCGCGGGGCGGCAGCGCCGGCGCTCGCAGGAGCGGTGGCCCCGGCGGCTCGGGCGCTCACAGAGGCGCCTGCTGCTGCAGCACATTCCTGCCCGGCCGGGCGGTCCCGAGCGGAGTGGCAGTGACGCTTCCGCCAGCACCGCGCAACGCCCGCGGAGCCGCGCCGCCCTGCCCCAAATTCCAGGGCAAGGGCGGCCGCTTCCCCCGCTCCGTTCTCCCCATCCCTCTTACTCTCTCTTTGTGGGGAAACCTCAGTGGGGCAAGGAGAGATCAAGTGCAAAGAGCTCCCTGCTCACGTCCGTAGGGATGTGCAGCTCCCAGACTGGGAGGTCCTCAAGCTCCCCCATCCCTCCTCAACCGGCAGGAGATGAAGGCTACCTACCCGGCAGGCTGCCATTAACCAGCTCCAGGTACTGGTCGAGGGAGGTGAGGATCTTGTAGCCGGCGCTGTTCACCAGCACACGGGGCTGCAGCACTCGCTCATAGGCCTGGGGGGAGAAAAAACATCAGTTGTGGGGAGGACACAACACACAGCCATGCTAGAGGTGGCCCCATGCCTTCAGGGAGAGGAGTTTTATCCGGATGTCTGGAGAAAGCGCCTGAATCGCAAGCCACATCAGCCCACTTGGGAATGCATGGGAAGGACCAGAGTGCAAGGGCTGCTTGACCAACCTTTGCCACATGCTTGGTGACAGAAGACCTTCACAGGGCATGTGAGAGCCCACCCTAAAACCAGGCCATCCACCCTGAGAGCCTCGTACAGAGGGAGCAAATGGAGGGCCACCCAACAGGCCAAGGTAGAGCTCACCAGCTTGTTCTCGTAGAGCACCAAGCCGTAGTTGTGCGGGACCACACAGAAACGGTTCCTCCACTTCTTGTTCTCCTCAATGTATTGGAAGAGGTTGCCCGAGTAGATGACATGGTCCTCCAGCGGAACCTGTGGGGAAGAGATGGCACATGGAGAACAGCTGATGGAGGACAAGGAGGACCCACTGCCCTGTTGGGTGCTGCTGCCCTGCATGGGAAGGTCAGCAGCACCTGCCTCGGGGAGGGCACGAAATAAGGTGTCGGTGCACCGGGACTGGGTCGCAGGAAGGTCTGCCTATGTCTATGGTGGTTTGGCTCCTCTCAAGGAGGTCATTTTCTCAGGGAGAAATGATCCAAACTAGTTGTATGCTGAGGGACATTGAGCTCCTGGTTGGATTAACACCTCTTACATCTCAAATTTAGGTGCCTAAAGGGGTGCTTTCGTGGCTGCACAGGAGGACTGGAGTATTACTACAAATACAGCCCCAGAAAAACTCTGTCTCATGTCAGGACTCAAGTCATAAGCAGCATTTTCCACTGTGAATGTAGTGAAACCTTCTTCCTTGGACAAATACAAAGCTCAGCTGGATGAGTCTCAAGCAACCTCCTTTAACTTGCAGATTAGCCCCACTTTGAGTGGGAAGTTGTACCAGAGACGTCCAGAAGTGCTCTCCAACCTAAACTGTGCTGTGATTTATCCTTGGGGAGGGAGGGAGCTTGCACATTACTGCTCCATAATGCCCATCAGCCTGGAGGAACCACTGGGGCACGTGCCAGTAGCAAATTATACAAGACAGGAATCAAGTCCTGCCCTACATGTTATCTAGAAAAGGGAAAACCAAAAAAGCCAGCATACAGCAGCCTAAAGGTTCAAGGTTTCATGGCAGGCATGTGATAAAACAGGCTGAGGACACCCCGCATCCTTGGACATGCAGAGGCCACCCTGGGCCAAACAACCTCTCGCTAGCTTTCCAGCACTTTTCTGGCCTGTAGGCAGGCAGCGTTTATGCTGTCTCAAACACAGGCTCACTAAATGAGCCAAGAATTTGTCCCAAGAATTTTTATGATCCTAGGAATATAAACAGAGTCAAAGAGTTCTCGTGAGGGTCTGAGCAATTGATGGCCAGCTCTCCCACATTGCCCATCCACCACAAGGGCCAGCATCTGGGAGGGTCTGCACAGGACTGGGCTCTTCACCATGCCACAACACTACCCCAAGGGACCTAACACAAAYGGGGATCATCTTTCTCACAAATGGGGCTACTTGGGGCTACAAAGGAGAATCTTCCTGCAGGAGAGGTTTTTCTCTCCTCCTTCCTTTTCAAACCGGCTCAAGTGCTGTAGCTGCTGKCAGCTTCAAGCCCTACAGCCAACTCAAGGCAGGGCTGGCACGTACAGACCATCCAGGCATCTCATTTACTTCTCCAGAACCCAGACCACTTCACTAACCAATGCATCCTTCTGCTGATAGACAGCTGACAGAAACCAGTTTTAGTAGAACACTCACAGTGTCTCCATTCCCCCTCTTCTTCCAAAGCACTTGCAAAGAATAAAGGCAGCAGAAAGTGTGAAGCAGATCCCATGGGAGACRGTGAGCAAGGAGTTAATGCCAAGAGGTCTAGTCCGAAGGCCAGCAAGAGGGATAGGGACAGAGAAGGCTGTTGGGGGCCCTGAAGGGTGGATGGGGTCGGAGAGGCCCTGAAGTGGCCGTCAGCGCCCTGTGCTGCAGGGGAAGGGCAGCTGCCACAGGCTGCGCTCCCTTCAGCGCCAGGGTCAAGAGTCACCCGCTATCATCTCACAGGGCAGCACATCTAGCAGTCAAATACAGAGAACCCGCCCCTACAACTGACCTGCAAAGCCTCTACCCTCCAAGACCAGCCTTGAGCCCAAGGCAGACAGTGCCACAAAGCYTGGCTTGGTTGAACAAAGCACCATGAAGTCCAGGCTGGGGCTTGACGAGGGTCTGGGGCTCCCTTGGCTCGGGAACCCATGCTGCCACTCACCAGCRTCCCCAAACTGCAGTGAGAGCAGCGCCCTCGTGACCGTCCCGCCAGCCAGCCCAGGGGCTGAGGAGCAGGACGGAGGAGGCGTTGTCCTCAACCGCAGGCGCCAGCCTGACCACAGGTAGAAACTGCCAGGATGCAGCAGCACCCACAACGGCAGGACTCATCCAGGGCCAAGAGCTTGCAGGGTCCTCTGGGGACCACGCAGGGAGCAGAGATTCGAGATAAAGCTCCTTCACTGAGGGCTGGCAGGGTGGCTGCCCTCAGCAGGGACAGCATTGCAAGCAACAGAGTTGGGAGTTTACATTCTGCAGGGCCGAGCATCAGCTGAAAAACGCCATTAAAAAGCATAGATATTTGGCTGGGGAGCCTGCAAAGCAGCCCGAGGGCAGCGGCTCTGCCCCCCTGCGCTCCCTGGATGGCAGAGCTCCCCATATTGCAGAGCTCCCCGGACTGCAGAGCTCCCCGGA